AGCTGCCATGGGTAACTAAGCTAAAATAAGTGATCTCAAATTCACCTCACAGTTCGCCTGTGTGAAGCAGATCAGTGAACCGGTTCGCAGATCATATATCGAGTTATGATTGGTCGCTCTGCGACTCGGTGGCTGGCAGGCGGCTCATCGGCTTGCATAGTTGTAATACATCGTATTGAGCTGTGAGCATCCAGTTTAGTTGTTGAGCCGTAACTCAATGGTTTCAGATATATGTGAGCTGTATTTTTGAGTCGGTTCAGAGGTGATTTATACATCTACCTGTAACTGTAACCCACCATTGGTGACTTATTTGTACTTGTAAGAAATTGATTGTAATAAATTTTGGTTTCAGCCGTATCGTTCTAACGCATGGTATTATCCGAACTGCCGATGGATGTGAACTGTTTCAAAATGTATAATGAAAATATCGATTACAATATTGAACCTTTAATGTAATTTTACTATTCAATATTTACAATATCAATGATTAAATTTGAAGTGGTATTTTTATTTAATCACCAGCTCACTATATGTCCCCACCGAGGGGCTCGGAGCCTACCCTAAGTTAAGGGTGATTAGGCCATAGTCAACCACGCTGGCCAAGTGCGGGTTGGTTGACTTCACACGTATCTTTGAATTTCTTCAAAGATATGTGCAGGTTGCATCACGATGTTTTCCTTCACCATAAGAACGTCGGTTAAATGTACATATGTAAATCAAAAATCGAAAAACACATTGGTACATGGCGGGATTCGAACCCAGGACCTGCAGATTGCAAGTCAAGTGCTTGACCACTGAGCCACCGACGCTCCTGATTTTTATTTAAACCATAATATAATTACATCATCTCGGCACTTATATTTAAAGTTCTGTTAGTCCGTTATTAGTTTCATAAATATAATGTGATATAAGTAAGCTCACTAGCGCCTCTCTGTCTATGTCAAAAAAGTGTCCTGCGTAATGTAGCTTTTTTATACCATATTTTATGCCCATGTACATAGGTTTTATATATTTTGGGACAGAAGTAATCGCGGCGCGACGCCTCTGTCATTGCCAAACATCCTTATATTATTATCTTTATTATTTGGCTATATTATATAACTATAGATTATTATTTTACTCTGTTTTTATATACTGTATTCACAGCATTGTTATATATAACAACACACAGGTTTGGCGAGATTGTTTTACCTTTAAACGAAAACTCTACCTACCCCTCTGGGTTACGGTACGTTTGACTTGTCTAAGCGAACTATCTATCTTGACCTTTGAACTTAATTTTGACGTTTAGATAAAGATTACAATAAACAGTAAAGATAAGCTTTTGATTTACGTAAGCATGACATTAACATAATTTTTTTTATTATTATAAGGTGACAAACGAGCGAGCGGACACCTGAAATCGCTGAAATAGCGAAGTGACCGTTGCCCATAGACATACGCAATTGCTTATGCGTTGCCTACCTTTAATCGACGGAGGAGAGTATGCACAGAAAGAAAATATTTTCCCTTTCCATGCATCCACTCATCTGGAAAATCCACTTCCACTTCCCATCGTTTTCTTATATGAAAAACGGTGTGAAGAGAAAAAGAACTAAATTAGGCCTCCGGGACGCACAATCATCAGACGAAACGCGGAATTCCTTACACTTGACGCCTGTCTTCTGTGTGGTCGTGGTATTTCACCGGGCGAGCCGGGACAATTCGTGCGAAGATGTTAAAGCGAGCTCTACCACTGTCAAATTAATAAAAAAATTATGTCACATAAAGCTTATAACGTGATTTTTTTCTGTACTAGGAAAAATGGGAAATGGAAGATTTTAACAAAAACTGTAAACTCATATAAATATATTGTTTTGATACGCTAAATATCAGTTTTTTCTTTACTTTAGGATGTTTTGATAATGCCCAGAATAAGTTTTTGTTTTTAATTAAGCATGCATCATGTGATGATATAAAACCTTTATAATTTTTTTTAATTAAAAGCCAACTGGATGTGAAAAATAATTCTATTATTAACAAAAGATTAACTTGTCAATGTCATTTCATTTAGTAATGATTTTTAGATAGATATGATTTTTTAAAATTTTTTACCGTTTGTATTACATTTAGGTTTTAGATTAATTTTTATTTTTATTCATTTAATTTCGGCAAAGGATTGTCTTGAAATTATGCCAGAGTGAGTTGAATTGTATATTTTTTTAATTTTATACTAATTAAATATGTAAGAAAAAAAAAGACCACCGTATACATTTGCATCTAGATGAATAAACATTAATAAATAAAAGATGACTCATGTATAACATAAAACCTTTATTCTCATTACCTCCTTGAATTAAAGGCTTATAAAGTTATCGACAGCCTTGCAGGTGTCTAGACGAAAATAACATTTTATACAACTCCAAGCTAAAAATCTATTCTCAACTTATGTAAGAATAGTACTTAGCCCAAACTATCTCATATTTACCTATATACTCGTAAAGAAACAATGAACACTCGTCACCTTTTTAATTGCTGGACGCGACTTAACCCGCGCGAAATTAAAAAATCCAGGAATGTAATCTGTCACCGGGAGATAGTGTAGCTTCCCAATAACGAAAGAGTTTTTTAGAGTTTCGGAGCCAATGCAAACAAACAAATAATCAATCTTATTATACATATTATTAGTAGAGATTTACCAAGCACCGAGACCGGGGTCATGTACGACCTACTGATACTGCTTAGTAAGGTATTTTTTATGTTGACAGAATTTACACAAAAACACAAAAAATATAAAAAAAATCCGCAGGTGCGTGCCATGTCCCGCGGCAGACCCGTGCGCGCCGACCGCCGGCATCAAGTCGGGCCCGCGCGACGGCAAGCCCATCGACGGCAAGCAGGAAAACCCCTGCCCTTGCCGCTCCTGCTGCTGCGGCAAAGCACCTATCTTGAATCCAGTACGTCATACGTAACCCTAGCTATAACCCACGCTATACTAGGTGACTATGGATAGAGTACGTAAAAGTGAAAAGAGATATGATTGAGAAGGTCACGACTAAATGACAAAGTCCTGCTGCGCCGACCCCACAGAAGTGGGATAAGTACAGGGAGGTCATAACCCTAATACTAGGGTCTCGGTGTTGTCATACCTTGTAAACTCCGCTGTTGATTGCAAAAAGAGTGATTTAAATTAGACTGGTAGCTTCTATGATAAACGAGTTTGAACTGCATCTTTAGCTCACATCAACGCATTTAGATGATAGAAGTAAAGAACCTTGAATTTTGTATTCGATTTTCATTTGATTGCTTTTAAATACTGCTGTTGACATCTTCGTTTTTTACCTTTTACCTATTTGGTATTTCGCAACAAATGTACACATGTAATCACTTGGATTTAATAAATTTTTAGCATTGCTTTTAAGACAAGAGATGTTCAATAAAATTGTAAAGTCGAGTACCTAGTTGTAAAGAAACAGTATCATAGATCGCTTACCGAGCAGAATTGTTTTAGTGCTACAAACAGCCTAAGATCCCCGAGTCGTATGCGCCGCGGCGATGCTACATGAAGCCGACGGCGCCGGTAGAGACATGCACCACGTACAAGCTGTCCTACCTTCCGACCGAGGGCTGCACCAATCTGCGTGGCGTGGCGCGCAAGC